CACATACAGACCGGTTCCCGCTCACTGGCTGAGCGAGGCGCGGGGGCAACACCGAGGGTTGCGATCCCGTTGCCGGTCCCGGTCCGGTGCGGGGGCAACACTGAGGGTTGCGATCCGTTGCCGGACACGGAAAAAGACAAAGACAAAGAAAAAAAAAAAGTTTACTAAAGTTTCCTAAAGATAGTAAGCAGCCCAAAGGCTGTTTGGCTACCTGGCCTTGAGGGTTCGCGTGTCACGATGCACCGCCCACTTGTCTTTCCGTTTGGAAGTGGATCCCCTACTCTGCACCCCAGAAATTTAAAGTCAGGGGATTAACAAAGCCGACTTCGAAGTGTGAAGGCCCCTGGACCAGAAATCAGAACCCCTGTATCTTTACTCGGGTCCGCTGCTAAATAGACTCGTGTCCCTGAGCAAGCGATTTTATTTCAGTTGCCCCATCCATAAGATATGGATAATATTTGCCTTGCTTGCCCAGCACAATTGTTGTTTTTTTAAAAAGTGTGATAAGAATAATGTATATCCAGTAAGGACGTTTTGCCAGTTTTAATTATTGAAGCACTTCTGTGGGTTTTGGTCTAAGGTAGTGACTAGGAAAGAATTTGGAAGTCGAGGAAGTTTCCTTGATTTGAGATAGCTCAAATTAATTTGTCGGCTTAAGAACTCAGAAAGCATTGGAATTTTACTGCAGGTAAAATTGCAGTTTTACTACAGTTTAACTGGGAAAATCCTGATTCTGACTTTAATTTAGTAATTCTAATTAACATAAATTTTCATCTTTGTCCCAAACTCGATCATTTCTAAAATTACTTTTTATCATTTTGAAAAGGCTTGACTAGAAATGAGAAAGAGACTTAGCTTTTTTTTTTTTTTTTTTTAACAAAGCTTGTGCATAAGAAAGTTAAATGGCTGTGTATAATCAATGACTTTCCTCCTAAAAATTAAATTGCTTTCCTACTAAGAGGAAAGCAAATTTTCTCTTGCCAGCCATTTATTTGAGAAACCCCGCAGCCAAACTTTAATTTATGGTTGAGTTGCAGTCATAGGATACACTTTGTCAGTTTAACCCAAAGATGGGCTGTTTTTAAAACTGACAAATGTTCTGCAGCCATCTGTTCTGAAAGGGTTCTTATCAAAATAGACTTTATTTTGGATCAAACTGACGTTCTGGTAGTAGCCCTAATATGTGAAAATCGAAAATATTTAATTCAGCTTTATGATTAAAAGACGTGTTTGTGATAAAAAATAAAATAAAGTAACAGGAATGAAATGTAAAAAGAGAAAAAAGTAACTTGAACGTTATTCAAAAATAGAGTTAAGATTACAAATCAGTGAAATTAAGAGTGTAAAGATAACCTCGATAATAGAGAAGTAGAAAGATTTGAAGAAATACTTAGGAGAGAAACTCCACATTATATAGAATGAATGAAAGGAAGTAGGGAAAAAAAGTTGTGTAGGTAAATAAGTAAACTGACAGATTTTGAAAGCCTATTGCTTACAGAGCTGTAGTACAAACCATTTTAATTTAATAAAGACTCTATCTATTTAACTATTTATCTAGGATAAATATAACCACATTGATCAGCTAGACTACCTGAGGAACTGTCCTCTAAATGCTGAAAATTGTGTTTCTGGCTTTTGAAGCTATTGGCAAGGAAACTAAGATTTCAGTGTGAAATGCGTATCTTATGTACAATTAGAGTAGGCTCCTATTTGTATAGAATGGTGAATTAGTCCATTTCTGTTGCTTATAACACTACCTGGAACTGGGTGATTTATAAGAAAACAAAATTTATTGCTTACAGTTTCAGAAGCTGGGAAGTCCAAAGTCCAGGGAACACATCTGGTGAGGGTCTTGTCCTGGTGGTGACTGTAGCAACTTGGTATCACGTGGTGAATATGGTGGAACAGAAAAAGAGATAGCTCCTCATGAGCTCTCCTTTTAAAGCCCTCAGAACCATGCCTACTACCACCATTATATCATCAACTTAATCTGATCTTCAAGGCCCCACCTTTCAATTACCGTAATAGGATTTCCCACCCTCAACATTTACAGTGGGGATTAAGTTTGGGGGGGATGTTCAATCCAAGGCAAATGGCTCTCTTTATTCATTTTTTAATTTTCCCTGTACCCCACGCCCCACCATTGCCTAGCATGATTTCTTCAGATAATTTTGATTGATTGGATTGGGTGTAACTGACTGATATTTTTGAATAATTAGATTGGATTGTAAGGTCCTTAAGGAGAGGAACTGCCTGTCTCATTTATTATTCTATCATCAGACCCTAACATAGTGCCTAGTTCATGATATGTACTCTATATCATTTGAATAATGAATATATTTGTAAATATTAAGTTTTAGTTGAAAAGGAACTTAGGTTTATCAAGCAGCACATCGAAAACTATAAATGTAATTTTGTTTAGCACACCAAATTTATAAAAAGAAGTTTTTATTCACTATTTTATTTTTTGATGTTTTCTTTTATCCCATTTTAAAGGTGAAGGAACTCAAGCTCAGAAATGAGTAAATGTCTTGGTATCACACACAGAGTGAAAGGCAAAGTAGAAATTCAGCTTAAGTCTATGTGACTCTGATGTGGATTGCATGTACCCCCAAAATGCATTGAAGTTTGACTTCCATTGTAATAGTGCTAAAGGGTGGGAAATCCAATTACGGTATTTGAAAGGTGGGTCCTTTAGGAGGCAATTAGATTTTGAGGACTGTGCCCTCATGAGTGGATTGACCCATTCATGGAGTACTGGGCATAGTTCTGATGGCTTTACAAGGAAACCAAGTGAGGTTAGCTGCCTCTTGCTCAGCGCATTTTCACCATGTGATACCCTGAGTCACTGTAGAGAGTCACCGCACCAAGAAGGAGACCATCACCAGATGCATCCCTGGAGCTGTGGACTTCCTAGCCTCCAAAGCTGTAAGAGATAAATTTTGTTTCTTTATAAACTACCCAGTTTCAGGTGTTCTGTTATAAGCAACAGGAAAGCACTAATACATATTCCAAAGTCCATGATCTTTCCATTACACCACAGCACCTGAACCAAACAAAACTTGGGGTGCCATGCCTGTGTCACATGATCCTGCTCCAGGACCACAGTTGATTAGAACCATGGTGCACATCTGACCAAGGTGAGCCCATCAGCAGCCTATCACTTATAAGGTACTGCTCGAAAGGAGAGAAGCAGAGATGATTTTTTTCTCATCTCTCCTGGGAGTTTAATCCAAGGAACCCATAGGGAAATCGTAGTTGGTAGCAGATCAGAGAGAAGCAGACATGTGGAGCTTTGCCAATTTTTGTCAGTTGTGGAACATAAGAGCAAAGATTCGTAAAATACTGCTGTTGAAATCTAGGGCTATTTTTCATCCAGAATGACTCTCTAGGTGCAGCTTCATTAAAGCAAGCTTTGTTAACAGCTGAATTAATGTGAGAATCTCATTATTGCTCATGATAATAAATCCTCTCTTTATCTTAGCTACTATGGATGCACCTCTCCTCAATGCAGCCAGATGGGTCTAAATTAAGCAGCATCCCACAACCTTACTGTGGGCCTTGAAACCATCCAGTCATCCTGGAAAGTTCTGAAAACCCCGTAGTGGCTTGTGGGCCCCCATAGTGATAGAGTCTGTCTGTGGCTAGCTGAAGGAGATGCCAGAGAGGGCAGCTGGGGCACTGGAGAGTGTGAAAGATAGAGAAGACATTACCTAGGGAAAGGAATATGGATTACAGGTAAATGGAAAAGTACATGGCATATTCACTAAAGTTCACCATTATGCCACGCTTGGTCAAATTGAATACATTTCAAGATAAGTCTCCTGACTAGAATGTTATTGGAAAAAAAAAGGAGACCACATGAGTGGCCCTCCCCCATCAGTCACCCTGTCTAGACTTCCTGAAGGCAGGAACTGCATCCGTTTACTGTGGCATCCCCCTGAGACATAGTAGGTACTCAGTAAATAGTGAATGCAATAAATGCATGAATCATTTTT